GTTCTTCTGTTATTTCTAATGCATGTGTCCCGAATATCGCTAATTCAAGGATGTTATGAAATAATCACTCAGGCCTTTTATTAATAAGATAACTAAGTGAACTTGGTAATATGATGATTTGTTAATAATAAACCTCTATGGCGTTTTCCCATTTAGACTCTAGCTATCCGACATAGCCTTTCAATTAGTTGGCACTTTGATATATATTATCTTGTTATTCACAGATGTTGAGTTGTGTTTCCCCATTTGGTGTGCTTACAATTCCATAATTGCAATGATGTTGGTATTACACACTGATTGTCCTCTGATTTCACGGTAGACAATTCAGTAGAATCAACAATGACGTCATTCCATTTTCGGTGAAAAAGTGACGCTATGAATTGTTTTCAGTTTCATACCAATTTGCATGCATTCAACGTTTACCCTTTCAGCAATTCAGCAAAAAATCGCCAATGTGCGCTTTCACTTTGTTTCACATTTACTGGTAATGGTGTACGTTTTCAATTACAACATTGTGTAACATGCGGCGTTTCAGTAACATTGAATTTCTTTCACTTTGTATGATACGCTCGTATTCTTATATGTCGAGGATGCCCCTCCCATTTTGCTCTGCTAACTCAACAATGGCCAATGATGTTGGTATAACACACTGTTTACACCCTGAATCCATGCTTGACAATTTTCCATAGTAAACAATGACGTCATTTGTTTCGGCGAAAACATGACACTATCAATTGCTTTCTGTTTCAGACTAATTTGTATGTATTCAACGTTCACCGATTTAAATGTATGTCTTTCTGTGTATATTACACCGAAACATCGCGCTTCAAAATGTCAACGATTGTTTTCACTTTGTAAATAATTCTTTGTTACTGTGAAGGTAGGTGTATTTTTTCCCACACACTAACATAAATATGATATATTCAAACAACCCATGGCAAAAAGGTGTAATGATCGACTAGGTGAGTGTGAATTGAACACAGCAGACCATTTTGTTTATTGTACAAAACATGATTTGAGGTGCTTATACTTCTGAGTAAAATTATTTTCTTTAATTTTACTATTCCAGAAATTTCATAAAAGTCACCCACGATACTGATATTAAAAGAAGTTTATGGAATGATTACCTAGAACTAGGTTTACTAGGATTACTATGAAACTAAATACCCAGAACTCAAATATGAATATCTGGAATAATTACCTTTAATAATTTTTCCCGGGATTTTAATGAAATGAATAATGAATGAATAATTACCCTGCTATTCTAGATGATAGTACACACAGCGAAGCCTTATATTAAAGTAAATATGTAACTGTGATGCTCATTCGAACATGCCATGTTTTTTGGAAACGAAACATTCAGAACAGAGAATAAGATTTTTATATTCGGTATAAAGAGTATATAATAAATGGGAACTTTACAAATTCCACAATCCATTCAAACACGGTGAAACCAGCGTATATTGAAATTTCAATTTTTGGTAACATAATTTGTACTAGTTGAATTGTTACGTTCAGTATATCAAAGTAGAGCTTGCTCTTAAGATATCATTATGGCGATTGTTTAAAAAACAAATCGTTTCATCTGCCGAGCCCTCAGCGACTCTTCTCCGAGCTGTATTGCTTTTTTTACCAATTGAAGTACAGCTCTCTGGTTTGATTCGTCGTAGTCGGTAGACAGTTCTGGCAGAAAATTGGTAATAAAATGCGGTTGCTGTCTGCCGTCGCCTGTGTTCATTGCGTGTGTTTTTACAAGGTCCCTTGACTTGGTTATACAGTCAGCAAAAGTGACAACTGGTATAATCGTCACCCCTGTAATGAAAACACTCATTGATCACCAATTGCGTTTCAGTAATGTGTGTGGTTTAGGCGTTCCACTTATGGTAGAGAATTAATTTACGACACTGTCCACGCAATTATCTGGTTTGCAATCACGGCCAACAAAGGAAGTTGAATTACAGCATTTGTAGGGTTACTACTTATATTCTGTTGAATGACGGCTATTAGGTTTTAAAGCAATAATATTCATATACTAGACCGAATTATTGTTTGGTTAGAGAGGGATAACAACAAATTCCTTTCACAATGTGTGTTATGTTACCATAGAAAGGTTGCTGCCTGCTTGTACAGAACACAGAGGAAATTAACACTGATTTACATGTATCTTTCTCAAATATCATATTAAGTAGGCCTTACCCAGATCAAAAAGATGACTACGAACAAATGCATTCTTTGCATTATATATCTGTTGAGTCAGTCGTGGGTCAGTTGATTTAACAAACCACATTACAACATGGAGTTGACTGCATAAGGGGGTTTTCTTCATTTTATTAGTGCTGATAACCTCTCCTTCTGAAAGTATAGCGCACAACATTTCAGTAGGTGGTTAAACTAATTGTCAATGACTAATTATGGTATATGCAGGTTCGTGACACTCGCTGTCGCTATTGTTTTATATGTAGGCAGTATTAGCTTCACATTGCTAATATTTTTTGAATACGCTGCACAGCGTTCATGCCTGTACACAAATACAAAAAAAAAGAATAATTTGAATGTAAAAAGGTGATTTTAGATTAATTTACTAGTAATAAGAATTTACAGTCATATCTGTGATACGTTTTTATATATTACAACGAAGTCCGGGAGTGTTTAAGTATGAACCACCCTTACCCAACAAAAAAACCAAACGCATATAATACCCAATTTTAATAAAACAATCATGTATATCACAGTATTTTTATATTTTTTAATGTACCTATTTACTGTTCTGTAATTTGGGGGGTTGGGCGTTCAAGAACCTGCATATATACCTTAGAAAAATAATGAATATCAGTTATTACAATGATAAATCTTACCGTATAGTATATCAACTGTTTATAATAGAAACTAACAATGCTTACCCCGCACAATGTTTTCTCCATCTTCTAATTGTCCATACAGTATTCTGAATAATTCGGATTCCTCACATCTTTCCAAATCCATAAAACCACGCGTATCTATCATTCTGAACTTGTATTCATAAAAAAATTCCTCCAATATAATTGTACCTAGTATGAAATATTTGTTTAGTTAAAAAACCCCAAACTGTGTGTATGCATTCATAGATTCATTCATTTCGGTAAATGAAACTATATGTATTACCTTCCGCCCCTGTCGACTGTACCACAGCCCGTCCATGATTGTCATCTAATAGACTTTTGGAAACAGAATTCACGAAACTACTCTTCCCAGAACCAGTGAATCCAAACAGACCAATCCGAATTTTCATTTTCTCCATCTCCCCTTGTTCTGCTGCGTCAAATGCATTTTCACCAAATTCAGCTTTTAGAAAACTACCGGTTTTATACGATATTAGTTCCTGTCTCATTTTTTGAAGCGACATACTCGTCGACACTGCCGTACTGGTTCGAAGGTTTCACAGCTTGCGATCGAATTGTCAACTACCGGGGATACTATGACAACGCTAGACTAGGGTGACCTGTTCCCCGTTTTATAATTTATGCACCAGTCAGCCAATCAATACCTTTGGTTGTATACTCCCCTAATAAATAATGAGCCATGTAAGTTTGTAAGTATTCTTCGCCTAGACACGGTGCGTAGTGCCAAGCCTTAGAACAACCAGTCGAAGGTTAGTGCCATGACAGTGCCACATTACTTTAAAATACGTGAACAATGTCAAGAGGGAATGTTATTTACGTCTATTTCCCGAGAGCGTCCATGACAATAGTTTACTTTATGATTCATCTTGACTGTTGAAAACTACGTTGTCATCGTGCAAAATAGATCGGGTTACAGAATCACGGAATCGTGTTTGCAGGTAGAGTCAGATAGTCTAAGACTAAACTAGTGCACAATTCGTGTGCAAAACAATGCTACCTTACAAACGACATGGCTTGTTTTAAACCAACATCTCTACATACCGTATGTACCGCATATTTCAGTGGTTATACTCCCAAAATCTTTACCGATTATGCTACATTTTTGTCTTGACGTGTTGCCTCTCATTATTTCATTGGAATTGGATTTTGACGTCAAATGAACATGGAAACGATAACAGAGATCACCAGACGGAAACACTACACGACGGACTAGTCATTGACAGCAGCATTCAATTTAGAAGTCATTTTTCATTACAGCTCTAAAAAAGCTTACTAGTTACGGATTATGGTGTAACAAAGGTTATTCGAACGTGAATTGGATGGAAAGCAATTTGCAAAGCCAAAATGTCGAGTCAACTTGGTATTACGTCCTATAGTGTCATATCCTGAAAACTGTCTCATGTTATTATTCAAATGGAAAATCAGCCACTTGGGGCGGTATTTATTGATAACGTTTTTAGACTAGACCAATGCGTGTATAGTACTACTACTGTGTCTAACAGGTTATAATGCTATGTTTTTTTTCCAGTAATGGCGTCTGAAAAAAAGAAGTGTGTGAACGTCCTGTTGTTAAACTGTGATAATTTGGTTGACCTGGATGTCGTCAAGCGTAAACTGTTCGACCATGATGTGTTCAATGTCAAGTCTGAATACTTTGGTCTTGGTGACATGAAGAGAAAAAGTGAAGAATTAAAAGCACGAAGTGATATAGACATGGGAGTTTTTGTTGTTCATGCAAATGAGTCTCGTCTGTCAATCAATGAGTCTGATGCAGGTATTGGTTATGCGGCAGTGTACAATGCACTCCTGGATGTAACAGGTATGTTCAATTACTCTCATTAATATGAACTTGATGCATGTCATTTTGTTTACAGATCATTGTCCCCGAGTTTATATTTTAATTACATTCAATTTTTAAATATATTAATATTTCTAGAACTTTGCTGAATATTGGGCGTCCATATCTAAATTAGTACATAAAACATGACGTGATCATTATGTACCTCAATTGTTCGTGGATTTGACTTAAAATGAACGAATTATTACTATTGTGCGACATAATTATTGAAAATTTTATATTTTAGGTCAAAAAGTGATAGTTGTCATTGGGCATGATAACAACTCTACTGATCAGAAACGATTGATATCTAAATGGGCATATCGTAAAATTGCATCACAGTTCGACACAGAATACTTGGAAGGTCCAACTAGCTATGTGTTCTCTTGGCAAGATGCACCACATGAATATCATGTGATGGCAGTGCTTGATTACCTGAAAAAGAATTTTCCAGACACAGATTTCAGTGGATATGACAAAAAACTTACAAAGTATGTAGCTTACATTCACAAACACTTTGACATTGAACTAAAATGTACTCGCACATTTTCATTATGATTTTCTGAATAACTGAGTAAAGAATGTCAGTGTGACATTAACAGCACTTGTGAATTGTTTGAGTCTCACAACGATTAAAAATTTTGATTGCATCCTGTAAGATGATCGGTAGGCATTACGTCACAAACATATCTTACTTCAGTCATCAGAGATGATTTATCTTGAATTACACGATACAACTATGACTAATATGCCCCATATCACATGCTTCACTTAATGTTAGACTGCGAAAGCCAACCACCCAACCAAGGACCGATTCCGTTGATATATCTGATCAATCTGCTGACGTGAAACCCTCGCATGATCTTCAAACAATATCATATCAACCAGTCACTGATGTAACTAAACACAAAGCACATGATGTCGGTAAATCCGAAAAACCGCAAAAAAAGTAAGTGCAAATTATTTTCAATTCTTACCCAAATTAAGTCGTTGATTTTAGTGTAATGTATTCAGAACAATTATTCTTATTTAATGACCATCTTGAGTGTGGTTACACACAAACTGATGATGTTTACTGTAACATATAAGGGGTAAACATTACAACAGTGACTAATATAATTAGTTTTGACTTGAAAGAAGTGTATCTGAATATAAGTCACATCAAATCCCCATGATCTCCACACATTTTATCTGAATTTACATGTAGTAGCCAGGCCCTGAATGTGACAAAATAATAACAAAAAACACTCCTAATTTATAGAATAAATCATTGAATTAATTACACGAGTTACACGATATAACTATCACTAATATGCCCCATATCACATTCTCCATCCACTATTTAGACTGCCTAAGCCAACCACCCAAACATGGACCGATTCCGTTGATATATCTGATCAATCTGCTGACGTGAAACCCTCGCATGATCTTCAAACAATATCATATCAACCAGTCACTGATGCAACTAAACCCAAAGCACATGATGTCGGTAAATCCGAAAAACCGCAAAACGAGTAAGCGCAAATTATTTTCAATTCTTACCCAAATTAAGTCGTTGATTTTATTGTAATGTAATCAGAACATTTATTCTTATTTAATGGCCATCTTGATTGTTGTTACACATAAAATGATGACGTTTACTGTAATATATCAGGGGTAAACGTCACAACAGTGACTAATATTATTAGTTTTGACTTGAAACCCAAGACTGAGAACGTGAGAATGGTAGACAAGAGTGTGCAAATTGCTTTTATTCAAAACATAACCAAATGTGCTGCGTGTGTGCGGGGCAATATCAGAACCGTGTGCCATGTTTGATAACGTTTTCATCTTATATGTACTATATTTCTTATGTGTATTTACAGAAACAAAGCGCCATCCCCTTATGAATCTGAGGATAATATTCAGGCGTTTAAAAAGGCTATCATTGATAATCTAGATATTCTTCATTTCGTAATGAAGGAGTTGAAAATGAAAAACTGCCAACCTGTATATGTATATTGCTGTATTGATGGCAAGGCAGACGACGAATTTATCGGTGCTTTAATACAGAAGGGTATAATAAGAGGCGATCCACCGCCTTGGTTTTGGGCTACGGATGAAGTCAAACGCTGTGTCATTAACCCAGACTTGTGCTTAGCCTTGTTCCCCGAAACGACACCTGGCCGTTATTTAATCAAAGAATTTAAAATGAAAAACTGCTATAAAAAATACACAGAGTCGAAAATCCCGTTTTATATGTTCTATAAGAAGTTGTTTTGAATATAAATCACATCAAATCACCATAATCTTCACACATTTTATCTCCACACAGGCCCCGAATGCGGCAAAATAACAACAAAAAACACTCCTAATTTATAGAATAAATCATTGAATTACTTCAGTTTGTGTGATGACATATCCATTCATTTACGTGCTGTTCGTTTAAGACACTTGATGTCCTCTGATTTTGCCCACAACAATTCTTAATATTCATTCAGTGAAAGGATGACACTATGGAATTATTTTCGATGCTTATAAGCTTCATATCAATTGCATGCAAATGCATATGTTATATTATTATATGTGCCTCTGACCTATATATTTATTGGCCATCTCCACCGATGTTTGTTCAAGACACTGGATTTCTTCTTATTTTATTGTTTAACTTATCCTCGTATTCAACATAGGCACTTTGTATTAAGTGGCAGGACAACGTGCTTAATATCACCTCTAGTGCGGGGGTCACGTGCCAGAACCAATTATTGCGTGAACGTGTTGAATTATTCAACCCTACAGCAGAATACAGGTCTCGGAGCTTGTGTTGTGAGTGTGATTTAAATATACTGAACAATGGAATCATTCCACACTCACATACTGAATTCCACGCAAAAATGTTAAAATACTTGTGAGTGAGTGAGTTAACTATTTCTCATAATTCGAACGAGTGTAATTTAACATGCTAGTGGTTTGTGTGCAAGAATTTGTAACATCGCTTGTGACAAATTATGATGTAAATGTATCGTGATGATAATTTGAAAGTTGGAAATAAACTACATGTACTTCACGAGTCGTAATGGAATACACAACTGTGAGGGCGATATCATAGATTGTCATGTCTCCATGTTTTATGGCTGCTGACAACATGAATAGATAAGAAACTTTGTAGCTTAAACACGGGTGCATAATGTGTCAATAATAACACATATACTTCAAGGCAAGTCGAATGTCAGTTAACAATTTGATATAAAAGACGAAAAGTCAACCAAAATTATATGAAGTTATCAAGAGAATACAGTAAAGTATCCTTGGATATATTGAGACTACACCATCGACAGACACAAAGATGATGTCATTGCTGTCCCGTACTGCTTGTGCACGTGTTTGTATCCATTTTAATAATATTTCTTGAGATTCTGATCACTGTAAAATACTTTATTTTCGACTGCAACATTATTTCGCTATTTTCTTTACTTTCAACTCGTCAAAATCAGTGAAAATAAATTCCATACAAAACACCCAAAAAGTATTTTCAGCGAATATTAATTCCAGCTAAATGAATAAAGTATTTTTCAGTACTAAAAAAACATGTGAACCATTTACCATTGACCACATTGCTATGCGAGTGGTCATACATCGTTTGTTTAGAGGTGAACTCTGGTATGCGAGTAAACAGTCACACAATTGATTGCCGTTTAAAGATGCCTAAGCAACGACGTTAGGTTAGGAAAGCTATGTCATCTGTCACACAAATTAATAACAGTTTTGGCTTCAGTAAAAAGAAGTGGCTGTCAAAAAATCAGAGTTGTGATTAGTACAGAGAAGAAAGACGGAAACGTGGCTTCTCGTTAACAAATGCACTGATGAACCAAGTCCTAAATAATTTTTCAAGAGAAGATGTGTCATCGCTCTCATTTTTAGAAGAATAATTTCGACGGTTTGGATAATCGGCGGTCAAACTCACCACTCAATATTAACTACAAAATTGTTTAGAGGTCCACAAGCAACTGTCTGAGATCAGTTATGCCCGATGAAATTGACAGCGACAAAATGGCAGATTTAAAGGTCTGAATATAATGGAAAGAAAAAAACCTCTAACATAGTTAGCTAGGAATGTTTCAGAGTCGTTTTGTTAGAATTTGTTTTTGGTTAAGATTTAAAAAAAATGTTTCAAGCCATTTATACTTCGACCCAGAGATTACAAGAATGGATCAACACATTTATATATCACCAGGGGTAAGACAGAATTGTTCTTTATCGGCTTAACTATTTGTCTTGTCTATTGGAATTATACCATAAGACAAGATAACACAGCAAAGGCCATCTTATTCAAAACTTCACAGACACAGTAGAAATGTGGTTAAACTGAACTAGTCACACTAATTGGTGTATAATGTAGTTGTTTAAGCATTGTAATGTACAAGAATTAATTGAAACAAAAGAAGTGTGGATAGCGATGGACAAAGTATCAAATCAAACTATATGTAATGTTAAATGGACTACATCAGTAGTCTTGGCACCACGTAGGGATTGCAGCAGGGTTATTTTTTTATAGCTCACCTTGTGGACTAAACACTTTAGGTCTAAGAATCAGATGCCTGTTCTATTTTTATAGAAGAACCTTCCCAAATAAAAGAAATTCTAAAATTTAAAAACATAAGAGGTAGTCACTAAACCATGTACTTTCACAATCAAGTAAGAGCATAGACATGTTGGTGAACTAACCTTGCACTGTGAGTGTTTTATTGATTACATTCTGTAAAACACCAGTTTTTTCACAAATAAAAAAAAATTAAAAAAGAACTGCAGACCTCACTTCTTTATATTTTTGAGTGGGCCAGCCATGTTTCCACATACAAAAATACACATAATATTTCTATTTAATTTATTTTATTTAAAAAAAAAATTCGAAGCATAACATTACAACGACTAGATTTGGTGTCACAGTGTGCTCCTAATTCATACTGGAATATTGCCAGCAATAATTAATAAAGCTTGTTCAGAAAACGATTTATTCCCGACATCATATTCAATGGCTTGTTCTGAGGATCTACAACAGTAAATAAATAAACAGAAATCATTTTGATGCCATGTTTTTAGACGACACTGCCATATCGCATAGATATTCAACACCACCATATCGAATTTGGATTTGGACCATACCATTTCAAGCTGCATGGTGTCTAAACAATGACTCAACAAACAAGAAACACATCTTCCACCCCCACACAAATTTCAGCCACAATTGAACAACCAAGAAAGCAACAAATATCAGGCTGCATCTTGAAAACAACGAGATACCGCATTACAACCAGTCATTACAAACATGAAATCCTCCACCCCTCCCAGTACACCGTACAGCAATAATGGTTCCG